TGGCAGACGATTTGTTTGCCCAGTAGAAGAGTGCTCGAAGGCATTCACCAAGAGGGCGCATCTCTTTCGTCATATGGAGTCACTGCATGCCGCTCCCGATCCCTTTCGAGGTACGCCATCTCCATTAGATGTAAACTGGAATCTGAAGTGGTCGACCGATGAAACTACAGCACCCGTTTGTTCCATGCCCTTCTGCGATAAGGTCTCGCTTCGAGAGGACAACCACAAGACACACACGGAACGCCACAGACTTTACCAAGAGATCTTCCTTTGTACCGGCGAAGACAACTTCAAAGGCACGCATATCATTAATGCCACCGCCGACATATGGGACAAAGTCAACCTCAAACCGTTCGCGGCGATGGAGATCACCCCCCTCATCCTCGACAGCTGGCTATACAAGGAGCGCCAGCGTCGGGAGTTCCCCGACGACCCTCGGTTCGCCCATTCAGAGTACAGTTGGGCAGACAAATATTTCCTCGCCCATCCGGAGGAGGCCGAGTATTTCCTCAGCTTTCCTTTGGGCCATGACTGGAAGTGGCAATTCCCGGGATGGAACAAGAAGGAGTTCCGGCGGGAGGGCAGCAACTGCCTCATGGGCAAATTCAAACTTGATATCCCACATGGTGCCCCACCGAACACACCGACCTCTTTGCCACCTCCCCCTGGCCCCCCTCACCCCGCGACTGTGTACAAAGGCTACCCTTCGTATCCCCCGGTATCCCCATTCGCGCCGGCTTCGGCATCTTGATCTTGTCTCCCCTCGCACCTAGTTATCCCCCCAGCTTTCTTCGCCATCCTTCCACACACCACGCTCTGTCTCCTTGCCCTATCACAATCATCGCTGCTCTCCCGTATTGCTATCACTTTCCATCCTAGCACTTTCAATGCACGTCAAACCCTCGAATGCTCCCATACCGCTCTTATCTCTCTCTGCTCTTCGTCCTCTCGCTATCACGCCGCCCTGCTTTCTCCCCTCCCCCCTCCCATCCTAATGCTCTCAACGCGACCCGAGCCCTACGCCTGTGTCATTTCGCGCTGTGTTTTTGCATGCTCTCTGCTAAGTGCTATCGTCCCAGTCCCAGCCCCACTGTGTGGTGGCTTCGATTTACCGCCCGATGTATTGCTTCCTCGTCGTTATCACACACTGTGAAAGTCCCAGCTTGTTGCAGCGTTATCTATGTGCCCCGATTCTGGCGGCCGATCAACACCTCATCGACCGTGCGTCCAGGGTGCGCGGCGGCGAAATGCACCGACCGTGCGTGCATCTGGACCCACCCGTAGGTTACCACAAGTCAGCGATACCCGCGAAGCGCACACGCGCACACGCACACACACACACCCGTTTTTCAAATTCAGAGTCCAGAACAGCGTCCCTCAGGGCAAGTACGACGGTCCCGACGCCCACCCAATCGCACCCGCGCGACGCGCGTCCCATCCCCCGGGGCCACCGCGCGGCATTCGAACACACTGCAAGCGGCCCAAAACATCCCGCGCACACACACGCGCCCAACTTCCTACCACTTCGAGCAGATCTCCGACCCCTAATGCGCGCCCACAGCGCACGGTCGCGACCGCGGCCTCCTTCCCGCGAAACGGTGTTCCGGTCGCAGAGAGCCCCATATCCGTGTCCGATCGTGTTATACTTACCCACCACCACGAGGGTGTGCGCGAGCCGTAAGTTCAAGTACAACGGTCGGGAGGGCTCGCGCCCCGCCGGCCCTTCGCCCACGCCCACCGCTCCGCCCGCGGGCTTTGCGGAGACAGCGGCAACTTCTGCCAGTTGATCGGATCGCCGGCCGGTACGGTGCGTACGCTCACTCTGCGATGTCGAGGACGAGCGGTGCGCAACATTAGCACGGGCGCCGGCTGTGTACCGCGCGCGCGTCGGTGGAAGCCCGGCGCCGACGCCTCGACGCGAGCGTATACGACAGAAAGCGTCGCGGGGCGGTGTCGCGTGGTAGGCCTGTGATCATGATTATGGTTACGTAGTGACCACAGACCACAGTTGCTCCGGTCGCGCGCTCGAGCACGTCCGAACTGCCGGCCGGTGGCCGCACAATTGCCTCAGGGCGATGCGCGCGGGTTCGCGGCCCGAGGCGGGGCACCATGGTCCTTGAGGACCTAAATAAACCTGTCTGTCCTTCACGCGCTTCTGGTGGATCGCGCGGGGAAGCCGACGAGGCTCAAGGGTCGATGCTCGGGCACGAAGGAAAGTCGTGGTGTGCGCGGCCGTGCAGGCTTCGACGGCCAGCTTGGGCGGACAGTACCAGTATTACTAGATTCGAAAAAAAAAATGCGATACAGAGCGTTAAAGGCTAGGCGTACATGTATAACCAAGGATTATGGTCCCGTCGGCGGCATTAGTGTCGCTCCATTCGCGAGCGGTGCGCCCTGCGCGATTAAACGGTACGTATCTTGGACGTGGGTAGTGGTGGTTGACAGGAGTTGGTGGTCGGGAGACTGAGGGATGGCGGGGCTGTGCGGAGGGCGCCAGTGCCGACGCGTGGCGGGATGGGCGAGTCGAGTTTAGGATTTACGGCTTTTGCGACGCCGGGAGTCGCGACGCCTTGCCTCTAGAAGGCTTGCGACGGGCGGAGGGGTTGAGGGGGTGACGACCGGGAATCAGAAGAACCGGGTGCTCTCCACCGGGAACCCGTTCACCATCCGCATCATCACCATGTTCGATGTCATTGTCGAGAACTGCCAGCAACCACGACCGGTCAGCGCCGACGCCCCCCAGCCACGCCAGAAAGAACGGGAAAAAAGAACACGCACCCCGTTGCCAATGAGCACCTGCGCCCGCTGCCCGACCAACATGTCCACCGCCTGCGCGATGTACTTCTGCTCCCAGTTGAGCACGAGATCGCGCGAGCTCGTGATGAGTTCCCAGTCGCCGTCGTGCCAGAGCGCGAGCTTGAGCTCCATGACGTACTCCGGGCTCCCGTTCGTCATGATGAACGCCCGCCGGAGGCCCTTGCCCGCCGGCGTGCGCCGCACCTCCCTCACCCGCTGCACGATCTCGTCTACCGACGGGTAGCAGTGCTTGCGGTAGATCGCGTGGTTCTCGGGCGTGTTCCAGCCCCAGTCCTCGTGCGACGGGACGGTGAACTGGTCGGCCATGCCCGGGAGGTTGTTGACCGCGACGTAGTCCGAGGACCAGTTGCCGATGTGGATGCAGTGCTCCTCGAAGTCGCCCCGGCGGACGTGAAGCGCGAGCAGGCCAGGAATCTCGGGGTATCGCTCCCGGTTCGTCGGAGTGTTCAAGGAAGCATAGTAGGGCTCCACCGTGTCGGAGGATTTGAACAGCTCGCGGTTGTTGTCGTAGGCAAGCTCGACGAGCGGCGACCACCGGAAGTGCGTGACGATGGGAGAGCTTGTGAACTCGTCCCAGATGTCGTGCATGGCGTACTTATCTCCAAATACCCTGCAATCGCATCAGGCAGGGTTGCACGAGCCATGACACATGATACCCACATGTAGTTGAAAAGCTGACCGGAGCCAAGCGCAGTCTGGACACAAGGGTCTTCGGTGCCTTTAAGTTTCGCAACCCAGCCATCGGTGATCTGCTTGGCATTGTTCTCAGAGGAAAGATGATCGTGGACGTCTTCGCGGATGTAAACTTTAGGCTTTGGGCAAAGCTTCTGGTAGTACTCTCGGCTCACAGCCAGCGGAGCGTGGTTGCTTGCTGGAAGAGGGTCCCCGGTGAAGTAACCTGGCAGAGTGTAAGCCATCAGAATCAGAACACCTGCGAAAGACCAGGAGCCGACCTCTGACAATCGCACTATAGGGAATAGTGGAGGGGATCTTTTTGCCGTTGTAATCAGAGTACAACGAGCCGTCCGCGTTCCATGTATAATTGCTAAAGACGAATCTGTGGGTGAGGTTAGCTTCGCGATCGGTTGTGGGTGCTCAGGCCAGACAGCGGAGCCCCACCAGGAACGTTTGCAACAACTCTGGGGTGCTGACACCCGGAACGTATCTTGCTTCCAGCGCGTACTGCCGGCGAGTTGCGCAGCAAGGGGACGCCGCAGCAGCAACACTGCCAGCCAACCCGTACGAGGTTACGCACACTCGCCGCCCAAGCCATGCGAGCGACGCAAGGGATAAATGATACTCACGATCGTCCGGCTTTGTACGCGATATAGGCGTTCAGCAGGTATTCCTCCATGCCGTTGCCCCACCCAGTCCCTGCAGGAGCAAAGGGCGAAGAATGAGTACCGCGCGCGCACATTCGCAAGACGGCGCCGAAACGCACCTCGCGCATGACCGGCGACATAGAAGAAGCTTTCTGTCGGAGCGGGCTTCTTGCGCTCCCAGTGATGCTGGGGCAACCGCAGCTCGTCGAAGTGGTACGCAGAGTAGAGCGGTGGCAGTGGTGCCGGAAGTAGCGCATTCTCGTTTGGCTGAAGGGGCAGTGGAGCCGCGGCGAGAGGCGCAGCGCGCCAGATGCGCGCGAGGAGGAAGAGGAGGGCGAAGGCGACGAGGATGAAGACGGCGTAGCGTCGCGCGAAGAAGACGAGCAGGTTGGGGCGAGACGAGCCCTTGTCGAAGCCCCTGCGGGCGGTGGGGAGCATGGAGGCGCGTTGGTGGGTCTTCTCACGGTCGTGTCGGTCTGGCCCCTGGGAGCGGGAGAACGGGAGAGGGAGAACGGCGAAGGGGCGGGAGGAGGACAGCTGGAGGCTCATGTGCGCGCTCGTCCAAGCTGTCAAATTAAAGCCTGTCATTGCACCCTTTTCCCGCGCACTGCTCGATCGCGTAAAGCTCTGATGTAAGTACACCTTGTTTGAGTGGAGTTTTGTATGCACAGCCAGAGGCCTATCGTTGGATATGAAAATGGATGTCGACGACGTTGCACTCTCATCCCAATGCCTAAGCGTCATCTCCTGAGACCACTTGCCTTGACATGACTGCTGCGGGTTCCAACTGGACCTCGTGCAGTGAGCAATTGCATTGTGAAGGTATATAGCAACGAATAAACACAAGATGCGAGGCATGCTCTATCGTCTCCGCGTGCGACCTTTGTCGCCGGATTGCAACGACTTCAAGACGGCCGCTTTCTGGCGATTCTTGTTTTTCACGTTTGCACTCGTGTAGAAGTTTGTTGCCTTTTTCTAGAGATTTCAAGACGAGTAAGCTGAGGGGCAATAGAGTGTATCTGAGAACGTACCTTGTTGGTCGTCACACGACGATTCTTTTGTGTTTGAGGCGACTCCTCGCCCGACACAGCCTGAACAGGACCCTTGGACGGCTCGACTTCATCTTCATCCTCATCCCCATCCTCATTGTCGTCCTCATCTTCACCCCCCTTTGCTGCGGCGTCGTCACCTTTGAAGACGTCGTTCCAGCCAAGCACCTCCTCTTCCTCTTCCTCTTCATCGTTTTCCTCACCGTCTCTCTCGGCCTCCACTTCTTCTTCGACTTCACCCTCACCCTCATCTTCGCCCTCGATAGGCCGCACGTCCTCACCTACGAACGTGTTCTTCTGCATGATCGAGCCCAAGTTCTGCTTGACGCCAATCCGGTGCCCCTCCTCCTTAGCCGCGGTCTTCCCCTTCCCCTTCGCATCCCGTGCCGCCCGCGCCTTCTTCTTCTCCTCCACCCTGTTCAGCTCGTCCGACCGCTCCGGCGGCGGCGCGAAGAACGGGATCCGCCCCCGCACCCAGTCACTAAGCAGGATCTTCGCGACCGACTCCCGGTCCGGCTCCCCGCCCTTGAGCAGCCGGCCCTTCATGCGCGCGAGCTTGTCCATGAACGCCTCGGGCTCCCACCCTTGGCTCGGATCGTCCGCGTCGGGCAGAGGGACCGCATACGTGCGCGCGAGGTAGACGGGCTTGACGCGCTCCATGAGCGCGGGGACGTGTTCGGAGGGTGTCGCGAGTGCCTCGACGCGGACGACGCCCTTGAGGACCGTCGACGTCTGCGAGTCGCGCGCAGAGGTGGGGACGATGCCAGGGCAGTCGATGAGGTAGATGCGCTTGGTGAGCGTGATGTACTGCCAGACCTTGGTCTCGCCCGGGACGGGGGCGACGTTGCAGACCTTGCCGGACTTGAGGGTGTTGATGACGGAGGACTTGCCGACGTTCGGGTAGCCGATGAAGCCGACGGAGATCTGCTTCTTGTCCGAGTGTAGCTGCGAGAATTGGCGGAGGAGCTGGATCAGGGAGCCTTTGCCGAAGGAATGGTTTGGCGAAGCGTGGAAGGCGAGGGTGGGGTAGCGCGGCGTGAGGTGTTGGATGTAGCGCGCCTATACGTAGATTTGTGAATGCGTTCGAGAGACGGCAAGGGACGAAACGTACAGTGACCCAGTTGGGCACCAGGTCGCACTTGTTAATCACAAGGACGACCTGTTTGTGTGCCTTCTCCTTCCTCACAAACTCCAAGACCGACTCACAGAGGGTGCCAAGAGGGTCCCGCGCGTCGATGACATGAATGATCACGTCGGAAGAGTCGATGACCTTGTACAGTTCTCCATATATGCGACGAGATGTGCCCTTGGCGTAGATCGGCTCGACGATGTCGGCGTGGGTTTGGAAGTCATTGCCCAGGGATGTCGAAGCCTCTGCCCCTACACAAAATGAGAGCAGATACGAGAAAGGGAGAAGCGAACCCACCTGGTTCCCCATCCTCAGCAGCTTCCTTGATGTCTGCAGCTGCCGCGCTTGCCTTCCCAAGCTCCTCGAAGGTGCCGACATCTATCCTGGGCTTCTTGCGTTGAGCCTTGGGACCAAAGGTGTCCTTGAACGTCTCCGTCTCAAGGATATGCGACCGCTGGTTTTGGGGCACCGTTGTCCGATGTTCAGAAGAAAAAAAGGGAAAGACGTACCTTGCGAGTATTCGGGTTCGCCGCATCGTCGATGAACGCCATGGGCAGCTTGTTCTTGCGCAGCAGCACAGAGTACGGGTCGTTCTGCCTCGCAGCGAGACTCGTCCGAAAGTGATCCAGCGCGGTCTGCGAGATCACCCTCGTGTTCCCTGCCCCCTCCCTCAGTCCCACCGCAAAACTCGGTGAATGTAACAGAGAACGCACCGAACCACCGCCGATCGGGCTGCACACGGCCCGGCTTCGTCTCGTCCTCGCCCTTCTGGAACGCGGCGGCCTGGATGATCTTGCCGTCCTTGTCGCGCACGGCCTTGCCGCCCTTGAGCATTTTCAGCCGGTTCGCGGTCTTCGCATTGTGGTAGAAGTTCTCGCCCTTGACTTTCTTGATGTAGGGGGTGGAGGAAGAAGATGACTTCGTCTTGGATGATGCTGGACTTTTCTTTGAGGGCGCCATGGCTGAGGACCAGGCTTCGAAGGAAGGGGAGGAGGGCAAAGGACTGAGAACCGAGGGCGCTTACGAGATTTTTGGCGGGGCGTCATGCACGTGCAGCTGATTCTGAAGCTGAAGCTTTCCACAACTTTCAGGTCGACGTTGGTCGACAAGCTACAGCTAAGGACGGCGATATGGTCCGCAGGCAGAAAGTGGAAACGCATAGGTCGCTGACAACCTGATAGCCTCGGGGAACAAACCTCTCCGGACGAAATTTAGCTCCAACACATACCTGCAACATGTACGAACGTTGCGACTGAGAACATTGAGCAAACTGGTGGTGAGGGCGAACAAATGATTGCAATTCATGCGAAACTAAATACGATACAAGAGTATAAAGGATGTCACAGGGGTATGTCGACATGCCGCAACATGGAGAACATGAGCTACGACACTTCCTAACCTGCTTTTGCAAAGCCATGATCTCGAGAGGGCAGAACTCCGAAGAGTCTCTGGCACTGTCTCAACGGTCGGGAGATCTGGCGTCGAACAGCGTGGCTTCTCTCTGGAGAGAAAATAAAAATTGCGCGGGAGGCGAAGACTATATACCCTGGCGCTTCAAGACATTCACACGATCACGGTCACGCGAGCCGACCTTCTGGCGCCCACAGTCGCTGCTGGATGCCATCCCCTCGTCACTCCCACTCCCCTGCTCGCCGTTCGCCATGTTCGGGGCGCATATAGCCCAGTGTGAGTGCCTCCCTATGATTTCGCAATTACGTGCTTATTCCATGTCAGGTTCGCGCGCAGTCGCGTCGACGAGCTCAGCACGCGCCGCCTCCTTGCACACCTCTGCCGTCCTACAAGCCCAGCTTACCCTCCGTGCTTCGGCCCGCGCCCGTAAGATACAACGCACACTCAAGGCCTCCCTCGAGCGCCGCGCCGAGCTCGAGGCCGAGGCTCGCGCGAACCGCCCCCATGTCATCCTCGGGCACAAGGCCGGCGACGAGGCCAAGTGGAAGAACAGCGACCTCGCCCGCATCCTCGTGACCGCCGAGGACATCGCCAACAGCCCCCCGCCGTCGATCGACCCGAGGACGGGCAAGGTTGTGCTGCCGAAGTACATGAGCTACGGCCTCACGGAGAAGGAGACAGAGGCGTTCTTCGAGGTGCTCCCGCACCTGACGGTGCAGGGGCAGGTGCAGAACCAGACCAAGGGCGACAATACGGAGGCGCGGACACTGGTCAGCGCGGAGGTGAATGCCTCGAGGGAGGTCCCGGGGAACAACTTGATGTTTGCGCGGTTGGTCGACTTGCGGAACGCGGACGCCGGAGGAATCGCGTTCGAGAACCGCAGGCGCATCGTGGCTGAGTTCTCGGAGCCAGAGAAGCCCAATGATACTGGGCGACCAGAGGTGCAAGGTGCGTCGTACGTTCTCATTACCTCTCCGCGTTTCTCACCTCGACCGGCACATGCAGCTGCCATTATGACGATGGAGATCCGCAACATGTGGAACCACCTCATTACGTTCAAGAAGGACATCGCGAGTCGTCGGCATCTTCGCCAGATCATTCACAAAAGAGCAAAGATCCTTCGATACCTCAAGCGAGTTGATGAGGATCGGTATGACCGAGTCTTGGAGAGGATGGGTGTCGAGCGTGGTGCAGTTGAGGGCGAACTCGTGGTATAATCTATATCTTACAGTCATGCTATACATCCACCCCTTCTTATCCCAACATGTCGTAATGAGGGTGCCCTTTCACTGTTGACCGCATGAGTTGTGCTTCTGAGAGTACTTCGACTGAGAGAAGAGTGCCCGACGCCACAACAGTGAACACGTTCGAGTGTGCGTCGGTCGGCGATCTGCCTTCTCTTCTTCCCTCATGTCGAACCCTCCCCACAGCGCTGGCCACTCGCTTCAGGCATTACATACCCACACCTCCGTGTCTCAACGTTGCACGGCAGTGCATTTCTCCCCGCGTTCTTTGGAACCGTCCAATCCGTTTCTCATGATGCGTCAAGTCGCGTGCGCAGCTAACCGCCGGTGTCGAGACGTAAACAGCCTCACCCACACCGTCCTCGAGCGCAGCTAAATCGACACTACGAGGGCACATCTGACCCCCTCCTCGCCCCACGTTCTCCCCGTCAGGCCAATCTCCTCCCTTCGCGGACCGATCGTCTCGTCACTGGCTCGGACAGGTCTTCGCGAGGATGCTGAGCCTAACGCTCGATGCCGAAGTCGACGGCTCCTATAAAGCCCGCCGACCAGTCTCGCACCGCAACCTCCGCACCCTCCACCGTCTCCTCCGCGCCCTCATCTTCACTATGGCCGCCAGCTTCTTCGCTGGTGCGCTGGCGTTGGGCGCCTCCCTCTACGTGGGCAAGGACCAGGTCCCGATGCTCAAAGCTTGGTGGTCAGAAGCTGGAAACATCGTGTACGACGGAGAAGTGCGCGCAGCGTTCTCGCGCAACGTCTCATCGTGCCCAGGTTCGTCGCTAGTTTCACTCCCGCGGTTCCCCCGAGGAGGTTCTGTGGGGTATTGGGTCTACATGGTCGGACATACGGCCCGGAATCTGTGCGCAGTGCAGGCGGGTCGGCAGGATTCCCCTCTGAGACCCGTGAAATCTTGTCAGGCCGAGCAAAGTCAGAGCCCCCGCCGTGACTTCACGAGACGGGGGAATAGCGTTAAGCGAAGTCTTAATCTGACACTGGCCTTTGGGCAGTTCGCTTTTGCATACTAGTGGGAGTTTGCAGAGGCAGTACTAATGACGACCTCTGCTCTCAGGATACGAACTCGCGTTATCTGCATTTCATGAAACCGACACCGGCATTCATGCCCGCTTAGACCTCGCCGGACCGGCGTGCAACGCATACGGTCATGATATTGAAACTCTAATCCTAGAAGTTACTTACGAGACACAGGACAGGCACGTACCGAGAATTCGTTACGGCATCTTCCAACGCTGATCCTCTGACTTACATAGGTTGCACGTTAATATCTACGACAAGGCCCGCTCGCAGTTTGCGATACCTTCCTCAGTCATAAACGTAGATCAGGGCTCTCGCGAACCATCTCTCAAACGAAACTCGGATCTCGTCTTTAACTACGAGGGTTCCCCCTTCGCTTTCTGGATCACACGACGCTCCGAACCGGATGGTGTCCCGCTCTTCGACACCCGCGCCTCTTCTCTTCCGAAGACTCCCATCGCCCCGATCATCCCGTCCGACAAGCGCACTGCACTCAATGGCTTCCCTCTTGTGTTTGAGGACCGGTACTTACAGCTCACATCTGCGCTCCCCCTTGACACGAACATCTATGGTTTGGGGGAGGTCGTTGCAACAAATGGATTCCGTCGTGACACGGGCGCACACGGAGGTGAAGGCACAATTCAAACCATGTGGGCTCGCGACGCCGCGGACCCCGAAGACGAAAACATGTGAGTCTACTTTGACGTCTCTGGTACCTCACAGCTCACCTTCTATGTTCTCTACCAGCTATGGCTCCCACCCCATCTATATGGAGCACCGTTATGACGAGAGGACGAAGAAGTCCAAGTCGCACGGTGTATTCTTGTTCAAGTACGTAGTCTTTTCCCATGCTGACGCGTATATAAGCTTAGTGGAGTGTATAGCTCTGCTGGTTCCGACGCCCTCCTCCTTACCCCTCCTTCATCATCTGTCTCCCTCCTCCAGTACCGCATCCTTGGTGGCAACCTCGACTTCTACTTCCTTTCTGGTCCAGGTCCGCAGGAAGTCATCCAACAATACGGCGCCCTCATCGGCCTTCCGACATGGCAGCCGCTGTGGGGCTTCGGCTTCCACCTATGCCGCTGGGGCTACATGTCCATCGCGGAGACACGCGATCAAGTGCAGCGTATGCGCGACGCGAACGTCCCGCTCGAGGTGATGTGGAACGACATCGATCTCTACCATGACTACCGGGACTTCACGGCGGACCCGGTGAGCTTCAACGCGGAGGAGGTTCGGACGTTCATCCGTGAACTGGTGAGGGTGTCTCGTCGTCCGCGTAGTTTTAATGCATGCTTAAGGGTACTGCAGGGCTCGAATCATCAGTACTACATTCCTATCGTCGATGCGGCTGTTGCACACCAGACCAACAGAACGGATGTTGTGAGTAAGGTCATCCCGAATCCTGATTAAATCACTCACCGCGTCCTTTCAGTACGACCCATACACGCGTGGGACTGAGCTGCAAGTCACAAGCAAAATTTTATGCGCCGTCTTACCTACTCACAAATCTGTTTAGTGATGTCTGGATCAAGAACCCTAACGGCACTGAATACGTTGGACAAGTTTGGCCAGGATACACTGTATGCGTGCGATATTTTCCTATGTGAAATGTCGTGTTCATCACTGTCTTAGGTCTTCCCGGATTGGTTCTCCGACAATGCGGCATCTTTCTGGACCGATGCTCTGACCAACTGGTCCAAGTCTGGCGTAGAGTTCTCAGGAATCTGGCTCGATATGAACGAGATCGCATCGTTCTGTAGTGGTTCTTGGTATGCCCTCACATGCTTCCTGTCCCTGTGTTTGCTCATGATTCCTGCAGTGGTTCAAATGCCGACTGGTCGGACACGTCTGTACCTTTCAGCCTTCCCGGAACCCCTGGAAATCCTGTGAAGCACTGGCCTGAGGGGTATGTTTCGAGGATATTCTACTACGATCTGCCACGCTGACCTCATACCTTCAGATACGATGCGAGCGTATGGGGGAAAAGTGGAAATATCACGATAAACGGCAAGCCCACGTATGACCCGAAAGTCCGACCCCCGATGTACAGACGCGCCCTGGACGATGGGCCGGAGATCGACCTGAGCGCTCCGCCCTACGCGATCCACAATGGTCAGTGTCACACCGTCCGTCTGTTTATGCGAAATACTAACGTACGATTTCATAGCATATGGCGAGCTCGGTTTCAAGACTGTCGCACCTTTCGCTATGCATGCCAACGGCATCTCAGAACTCGACGTGCACAACCTCTGGGGCCTCATGGAAGAGAAGGTGACGCACGGCGCGCTGCTCAAGATCCGCGACAACAAGCGGCCCTTCATTATCTCCCGCTCCACCTTCGCAGGATCTGGCAAGTGGACAGGCCACTGGCTCGGGGACAACTTCTCCAAGTGGTCCTACATGCACTACAGCATCCAAGGCGTGCTGCAGTTTCAACTCTTCCAGATTCCGATGGTTGGAGCGGACACCTGTGGCTTCGAAGGGAATTCGGATGAGGAACTGTGCGGCAGGTGGATGCAGCTAAGCGCATTCCTACCCTTCTACCGGAACCACAACATCCTCGGCGGCATCCCGCAGGAGCCGTACGTATGGGACAGCGTGGCGAGTGTATCACGCAGCGCGATCGCCACGCGGTACAGCATGCTTCCGTACTGGGTACGTCGTTCTTCCTCCCTTCCCCTCCACAGATCCACTAACTCACCCCTTGCAGTACACCCTCTTCGCCAACTCCTCGACCTTTGGCTCTGCCCCCGTCCGCGCCCTTTTCTTTGAGTTCCCCGACGAGCCCGAGCTCTTCCCCATCGACCAACAGTTCCTCCTCGGCCGCGACATCCTCGTCACCCCAGTGCTCACCCCGAACGCATCCACCGTTGCCGGCATCTTCCCTGGGCGCGGCACGGTCACCTGGCGCGACTGGTACACCCACGCGTCGATAGCCATCCCCACCGACGGGTCTCCGGTCACGCTCGACGCTCCCCTCGGGCACATCAACGTCCACGTCCGGGACGGCGCCACGATCCTCCTGCACGCGGAGCCCGGATATACGACCGCGGAAACTGCGGCCGGCCCGTACGCGCTTCTCGTGAGCCAGGATAAGGACGGATACGCTTTCGGGACGGCATACGTTGACGATGGAGACACGATGCCTCCCACACCTAACTCGACGATCAAGTTTGTGGCGAGCAAGGGCAAGGTTACGGTCACGGTCGCGGGTAACTTCCACGTCGCGCAAAAGCTCGAGACCGTCACAGTCCTCGGCGTCGGGGCGACGTCGCCAGCGGCGGTACAAATCAACGGGAGGGAGGTCCCTGCGGGAGACTGGGAGTATGTCGAGGGAGTGGAGAAACTGGTCGTGAAGAACGCAGAGATCGACCTGAACGAGGAGACGACCGTCACTTGGGCCTAAGCCCCGGCACTTGTTTGTTGTATATTACGACATGTAGCATGAATCTAGAGTTCCTGGATGTCTGGATAGTCTTAACTGAAGCTGCGGTTCAATCAGCGTAGGATGCTTGCCCTCCATGAGCGCTGAGCGTCCATATCAGAAGCGCCCAAATTCTGGAGCGAAGTCCACAGCGGCGCCAAACGTGCGGTCTATATGCTCTGCCTTTTCCTACTATCTCCTCCCTTCGTCTTCGCTCACATTCTCTCGTAGGTAACATTGCAAGGTATTCTGCCTGACCGCATTAGCGCGACGAGTAGCACCTATCTTCCGTTACTGGTCACCATCTTCAAGTTCCACGGACCACAGTGACTTCCCTTGGTAGTCAATGCGTGGACCCAATCATGACCTCGCCGCACCTTCCTCGGGAGTCTTACAGAATAGTATCGAGAGTAGGCCTGGTTTCCCAAATGAAAAATCGAGACCCCCAAACCATCAAGCTGTTTTCTGCTCTCTGTCGCCACCGTGCCAGTAATTGGATTTTACTATCAGGAATCGAGGTGCGCTTCGTGTCTACCCAATTTCGAAATAATCGGCGACATACAGGCTTGATTGCGTACAGTGGTTGTTACGATCAGGACATGTATGCGGGTTTAGGCGTCCAACCACACTTTACGGATTACTTCGCCGTTGAATCAGTGGACTACATTCCGAACCCGAGTCCAAGAAACTTCGAGCCTTCGTCGAAACCTGACCTCACAAGTCACGACGGGCTTCGACTCTGTCTGCCAGGCCGGGTATAGCCGTCAGCTCAAGTCCATATTCGCACCTCCGCCGATCATGGTCCTTCGAAACCTCTCGGATTTACGTCTACTGTGAATACGTCTCTACTCTTATATGCTCGTCATGTACCAGAACGTGTAATCGTGAAGTGGGTAACGGCGTGTTGCTTTCGTTCCGAATGCATGGCAGGCGACCGCAGAAAAGCTTCCGACTCGGATGGATGAACGATGTTGAGAGGATTTCGCATAGTCTGAAACATTGAACGAGTGGTATAGGGGTTTGAGCGAGTGGTCTCCTGTGGTCTGGCCGGGCTGACTGGATGAACGGCATGCCGAATTGGGCAGCGCTTGGGAATGTGGCTGACGACGGTGGCGGCGGACGCGGGTTTGACCTCGACGTCCAGACCCCCGCCAGTCTCTGCTGCGTTTCGGCTGAGGATCAAATATGGCTCACCGCCGTGCGTGATTTCTGCCAGTCGGGCTGCTCTCTTCTCACTCATCACAGTGTCCTCGTCCCCGGCCGGCATGGTCGACTTCCCGTCCTCTGGCCCCGACATCCACATCGCACCGAGCCCATCTGCCCTCGACCTCGCCCAGCAGCGGTCGACATATCTCCCCTTCCGCCGCATCTCTCTACCTTCTGCACCCAATCTCATCCACCGCCAGTCGATTGTTTCAACCGCTTCGTTCGACTCCCTCCCCGAACCCCGTCCCCTGCTTGGGCCCGTGCCCGTGACTCCAGTCGTCATTCGGAATGCTGTCCACGGGCCCAAGTCACGTCCTTCAACCTCCCAGCTGGATCCGGCGCGCCGAGGGGTACGCAGAAGGGAGAGTCGAGTCATCGACGACCAGCGCGAGGCGAAGCGGCGCAAGGTCATCACCGAGTTCTACGAGACGGAGAGGTCCTACCTCGACGGGCTCGAGCTCATCCACTCGGTACGTGCCGTGATTTATCATGGTCCCGTCGTACGATGGCGCCCTGACGTGCGAATTGCGCATATACCCAGCACTTCCTCACTCCCATCATTGCCTCGCTCGACGGCTCCCAGCCGCTGCTCACCCGTGCGGAACTCACCTCCATCTTCTCCAACTTCATCGACATCTGGAATTTACACCGCTCCTTTTACGCTGCTCTCACCGACTTCCTCAATACATCCGCCGACACTCGTGCTCACTATGCTCCGCCCCCGCTATCACCTGTGCTTCTAGCCCACTTCCCCTACCTTTCGCTGTACACGCCCTTCGTCAGCTCCTTCTCTGATGCACTTGCGTCATATGCGGCTCTGTTGCGAAACAACTCAGCATTCTCTGCGTTCATTGCGGAGAAGGAGGCGGATCCGAAGTGCGGGAGACTCAAGTTTAGGGACTGGTTGTTAACCATCGTTCAACGGTGTCCACGGTATCTGCTTCTCCTTAAGGATATGATCAGCTGCACCGATCAAGAGGATCCGGAGTATCAGTCGTTGACGGCGGTTCATACACTTGTGTCGAAGAGTGAGTTCTCAGTCTCTTCCGACATCTGGGTACTGCTCCACAGACCATCGGAGAGCTGACCGTTATGCGGTTTAGTCACCATGTCTCTGAACACATCATTGCACACCCACGCCCAGACCCTTTCGCTTCTGGCTCTCCAACGCAACACCTCGAACCTCCCCTTCCAGCTCATCTCCCCCGGCCGTACCTTCCTCCGGCGCGCTCCTCTTCTCCAGCTCGAGAGCTCGTCTCCGCGCGAGCGCGAATTCCTCCTCTTTTCCGACTGTCTCATTTGGCTTTCCAGCGCCGACGGCGAAGGCTTCTCCGACAAATGGGCTGCGCTCTCCACTTCACCCACCGTCGATGTGTTCAATCTGGCGACCGGCAACGACCGCCCTCGCTCGCGCACTCGTAGTGATGTGCACCACGAAGCAGACGCCATGCGCCGCCGACAGTCCATTCTTCAACTGAAGCTGAATGGCAGCCCACGGAAGAAGCGGCAAGCCAGTACCGGCGTCGACGAGCGCTGGGTTTACCGAGGTCATGTCGAGCTCGTCGACATTGAAGTCGTCGTCAGCACGACCTGTGCTGGGGACGGACTTGAGTATGGTTTCGACTTGTTGAGCCCGCATCGGTCGTTTGCGGTGTACGGAGGTGAGACGTTGACGTCATTGCTGATGCGGGTGTCGGAAGCGCTGACTGGTCTTTTTCCTTCCGCCGCGACAGCGAACGAGGAAGAGCGAGATGAGTGGGTGACCGCGATCCGGAATGCAAAGGCGTCGTTGCTCGTGTCGTTGAGCGTGATGCAGCTCAACTCGACGTTGACGTCGTCGGCATCGACAAACCACCTGCGGAGAACACTACAGGCCTTGCCGTATGCGCCTGAGGATGACACCAAGCCAAAGCGGGGCAGGGTTGAGCACTTCGTGCCCGCGGTTTGGGTCCCAGATGGGAAGACAGAGAGCTGCATGCGGTGTGGGAGGACCTTTGGATGGAGGAGACGGAGGCATCACTGTCGCCTCTGCGGGCGTTGCGTGTGTGGCGGCTGCTCGGGGAAGGTGCGTATTTTTTGCTTCCCCCCACACCGTTCTCTCCATTCAATCCCTCTGCAATATAGACGTTCTTCATTGTCGACTCAGACAAGGACTCAAAGTCTGCCCGCGCGTGCGACTCGTGTTATGACACCGTCTTCCCCCTCGTTGAGCAGCCTTCGGAACCCCATGTAATCGTCACCGCTGGGACCATGCACGGCCACTTCACACTCTCCGGCCTCAAGTCCATGCCTTGTCTCCTGCTGGCCGCTGAAGGCGGCGGTGTGTCTCACTCCGCGTCAGCACTGATGGCCATCGACCTCGACCGATCGTTCCCCAGATACGATGAGGACGACGAGCTCGAGCCCGATGGCGACGCCCCCCTTTCCCCGCCGGCCGTTCCGGTGCGCATGAAGTCCGCTGCAAGGCCGAAGAGCTACATCCAGATCTTGGAAGACTTCCAGGAGCGTGCAGGCTCCCCAACCCGCTCACCACGGGCTTCACGGTTCAGCACCCACTCCGTGTTGGACGAGACCCATGATGTACCGGACGAGCGTGAAGAGGATGCGCTGGCGGCATCTATGGGCGGAGAAACCCTCGCGGCGTCGATGGGTGGGGAGACGCTTGTGGCGGATGACGACGGTGTGGACGGGAGGACGAGCGTCACACCGACACCGCGCAAGGAGAAGGAGAAAGAGAAGGAGAACACCGCCCGCAGGAACAAGCGTTTCTCGCTTCCCGCCATCGCGCTGCAAACGAACCCGGTCACGGCGCGCCTCGCCGGACAAGGGCGCGGGCACGGACACGGCTCGAGCATGCACAACCGATTCTCTCTCGTCCTCGGCAAAGACGACCTGGCCCACTCAGCCTCGCACATGCGCGTGCGTGTGGAAAGTCCGAAGAGGCACAGTATCGCGGCGGGGCGGTTGTCAGAGCTCTTGGGGCGCGTGGGCAAGGATTAGTTGGGACTTACGGGGAGCTTCATGGTGCGTGGCGTGTGCAAGCGTTGTATTGGACTTATAATCGCGCCCCGACCTTCTTGTCTCCCCGGACGCTGCTCGTTCTCGTGCTCATCGTCTCTCTCCCCTCATCCCCGTCTTCCGACCCTTCATATGTGACGACACATTAAATGCACGAAAGCGACGACCACGACGGGCCCTTGCTGCCGTCAATGACTGTACGATACCAGATGGTGACTCCCTAGACCATGATGCACGCATATACCTGCATCGCGCGCGTGCTCTGTCCTCTGTATTTTTGCTTTCCTGCCCTCCACGGTTCGAGTACTTTCTTGCCACCCTCCATAGCTTTCGCATGCCTTTACGACCATCATGACGCAATTGTATCAATGACTTGTTACTTGTATCTGGTGAGAGCTGAGTGCCTGGTGAGAGCCGAGTGCCTGGTGTGAGCTTCGCTGTGCGTTGTCTTCTCTATCTCCTTTCTGTGCAAGTGTCTCTTCCGCAAACAGCGCAAGCTCAAGTCGGTGGTGGGGATCAGGCTGCTCCCGGACTCGGTCGTCTCTGCCGCCCGGCTGTCGGTATCGATGCGCACCGACACGAAACGAAACGAATCATGGCTTATGCTACACGGTCGGACCGATACTCGAGCGAATCGTGGGCCGTGGCGCATACATCACGCGAGCACACTCGCCATCCCAGACCGCTCACAGGACCTTCATCGCACCCCACTCTAGCACCCTGAACGCGCCCCCGTCAGTCGCCTCATGCGGCACATCGACCACCTCCGCCCAGTCTATGCCCCCGTCCATCGCGCCCCTGCGCGCGTCCACCTCCGCCTCCGGGACGCCGCGGAAGAGCATGAACACGCGCGTGACGACGTCCGGCGCGGGCTCCGAGACGCGCAGCTCCGCCGCGCGGTCGTACGCCGCCCGCGGGAGGAAGCGCAGCGCGACGAACGGCGCCTTCGAGAGCCGCGGGAGCAGGTGGGTGACGAAGACGCTGCGCGCGGCGGCGTGAGCGTGCGGTCGAGGTACGGGAGGAGCCCGGCGAAGGGGAGGCAGACCGCGTTGGTCCGGTCGAGCGTGGGCGCGGCGGGGTCGAAGTGCCCGACGAAGGCGCGCCGCGGGTGAGGGGGCGGGGAGGAGGGGACGCCGTGGCGCGGCTCGGCCTCCCAGAAGAGGTAGGGGAGCTCGAGGCCGGAGGAGAGCTCGACGAGGGTGCCGTCGTGGCGGGCGGAGACGGACCAGGCGACGCGTTCTTTCCCGGAGTCGGCGATCAGCTTGGTGTCGGCGAGGGGATAACTTTGGGAAAAGCGCCATTGGGGGACGAGGAGAACGGAGACGTCGACGACTGGTATGGGGTTTAGATATGGGGGTAAGAGGTAAATGACAGGCTGTGCGCCCTTTTGAGGGAGGGTCAAATCAAGGGTGGAGTCTTTTCGCATGCCATAGAACGACAGTGGATGTCTGTCTTCGAGCCGTTGGCCGCAATATGTCAGCCTCATGCCATCGCATGAAATGCCTTCTTTCATAAGGCGCCTCTCCACGTCGGCAAGAGTTGAAACGTTGCGGATTGTGAAAGTTTTCCCTTTTAACCTGTCCATGTATCAGCCATGCGCACAGTAGTGGCCTTCCAATGACTAAAAGGAACGTACCCATGCACGAAAAGCTTGCTTACACAACTCTGTTCGGACGATGCACGTTCATCCAGATCTGGAATTGGACTACTGTGTTGATGGATGGAGATATTCATGGATCATGGGCAACTGAAGATCACTTGACAGATTACTCACGGAGGTCCATCGGATTCGCGCTCGAGCTTCTCAAGTAGGACAACCTCCCCGAGAGGCAAGAGACTCATGATGTCGTCGGATAATTCCATCCGGACGCCGTTGATGTTGCCAGATAGCGCGTACGACTCCTGTGGAGGTGCTTCTTTGCCTTCGCAATGACGGACTGGTGTTTCGTCTGGAATGAAACAGCCGACGTAAGATCGTGAAGGAAAACTGCGTACCTCGACGTCGTCGCGGCGGAACCCCACTGCGCGAGAGCCCCATTGAACTCGAATCAAATGTTCGGCCATGGAGGTTGGGGTTTGGGACGAGGTAGAATCTCGGGGTGGCCCGATTTGCCGGACCTGGGGAGCAGGTCGACGGGAGTGCGGCACGACGGGAGGATCGAAGAGAGCGAGCCGTCGTCCGGAGCCCCGGGACTGGGGATTTACAATTCATAGCTGTTTCCGAAATGATCGTCCGATCAACTCCAACGCTATGTATGCACGAGAGCAGGAACAAGCACGAATGCTCCGAAAATTGGAGAAATTCGGGAAATTCCCACCGCGCGTGCACGACCTGACGCGAGCGACGCAGAAATTTCGAAACAAATGATGGAAATTGGCGGACCCGGGCGAAAGCATGCCAGCGTCGCATCGTACACTACTGTTTCTATTGCCTGCTTCCTGCTCCAGCGCTGGCTTTGCAACCATGGACGACCCAGAGGACAACCAGCGCTATGTCACTAGCAGACCCGCGGCAGGCCTAGGCTCGTGGTTTGAAGCCCCCCGACAAGAGGAACAGCTTAAAGTCCATCGCTCGTGTTGTGTTACTGAGAGCGCTCACCTGGCACCACCACCGTGGCCTTCGTCGTCGCTCCTCGGTAGTTCATGTGGTCCCACTGGCGCCACTTGCATCGGCCTCTTGCTCCAGCCGAACCAACGCTTCATCTTCAAGAACGATCAGATAACCTGGCACCCAGTGCGGGTCCCATATGCTATGGGTCGCGTCGGGGTTGTAGTAAGTCCGCCGGAGACTGAGGTGCTGCTCACGGTCATCAAATCATCATCGACAATGACGCGCATTTTGAAGTTGACGAAAAATCGATAAGGAGCGGTATGAGGACATGTGCGAGAGAACTTGCAAAGGAGCGAAGGACAAGTGATGGTGGGTCGTTCAGGTTCAAGAGAGCGCCGACGCCCAAGTCGGAGCTGGTCGCCACGGGCGCTCGAGGAGCACAGGTGACAGCGGCGAACATCTAACTTCAAGTACTCCTCTTTCCCCCCACACACCTATCTTCTCGCACAACCGGGCTTTAGCGTCTTGTATAGCCGAACATTGGGATGGATATACTCCCCCTGAGTGCTGGCTCCACTTGCCGCGCCGCGAACACCTTCTCCGCAGGACTCGTGGTCGTGACTCGACGGTCCTGTCATGGTAGGCTCGTGATTGAGTACAACGCGGCAACAGAACCGCGCCATCCTCGTTTTAGAGTGTCCGTGTGCCTCGAGCGCAGCTTTCGCAGTGTACTTAGGTGAGTCAAACAGTCGCAGTCTCAGAAAGTGCTTCCCCGCGTATGCGCTCTGCTCGCGGTACTGCTTTGCCCCATCGGACTTCAGTTGGACCGCGGGAAGGTGCTTCGCGTGCACGAGCGAGCGATCGTTCGCTACTGTAGGAAGGTCGGCCATCGCTTTCGCGTCTTCGTCCACTCGATGCTCAGTGTGATGGGCACCAGTGGAAGACGACACGTCTCCGTTCGTCCATCCCCGGACACCCTGGCACGCAACCACGGGCACGAAAGCAGCTGGACGATTGAGCCTCGCGCCACCATCTATGGCAGCGCAGCTTTGGATACAGGGCTCCATCCGTGAACGACCGCGGCGCGATTGTCCGAGTCCACCATCGCTTCTTCGGGACGTGCACGGCTTCAGCTGACCCTCGACCCAGGCGTCAAGCTCATCCGAGTGTTTCTTCGGGTGTTCAAGGCTCTACTGGAGTGGCTCGTTGAACTGGTCCACCACCCCCACGGCGCCGGTACGCGCCTCGGCGTGGAGCGGGGCTCACTGATCCTTGGTGCAGGTTGTTCTCATGACGTCCACCAGGCCGGGAGGTGAGTCCCCGACTGCTAACTCTGGAGAGAGCTGATTGTGGCAGGGCGCTCCCGGCGCGGAGCCCCTTTCTGCCCGCTAGTTTCTCCACATCATGCATCAATTCCTGCAGGTTGTGAGGACTTCCATTCCGCCGACCGTTGGCGACAGGTGCGCAGCGCTGTATTCCATGTGCCCCTTGATCCCTGACAGCCGTACGTCATCAGAGAGAGAACGTGCTCTGCCTCGTGGATAGTCCCCACATCCAGTTTCGCGGAGGACTGGGCCGTGCTCGCTGTGCGCGCGCCGGACACGCGATCAAAGGGGCTCCACAGGGGCTCCCAGTGGACTTCGCGCATCTCGTCGTGACCACGCAAGGCAGGCCTTCGTCGATTTTTTTCTAGCAGATCGTCTCGTCGTCTGCCGTCGACGATCTCGGGTCTGTCCGCCTAGACCGGACACCCTGGCCACGCAGGGTGGCCTCGGTACACAGGGACGACGGAGATGCAGCACAGGAGCAGCGGCCACGTCGCGAGCAAGAAGCCGCCGCCGCCGAGCGGCAGTGTCAAGACATGCGCCCCCCGGCTCTTGCGGCGGTCGACGCGTGCACTGGACGTAAGGCCAGTCCTGCGGCCGATCAGGGATCCGGAGAGGAACGCAATCCCCTCTGCTGCTCGCCGTCCAATAAAGCCGGACGGCCCCGCTTGAAGGCCGCACCATCTCCTCCATACACACCACCTACACCTTCCTATCCCCCTATTACATCCGACTATGACCATGGTTCAAGCCGTAAAGGACCTTCAAGAGTTCAAGGACATCGTAAGCGGCTTCCCCAGCTGATCTCGGCCACGTACTCGAGGCTGATCAGGTCACACGCAGATCAACGGCGACACCGTTGCTATTTTCGACTTCTGGGCGACCTGGTGCGGCCCGTGCAGGAACATCTCGCCCATTTTCGAGAAGCTCGCCAGCCAGGATGGGGGCGCCAAGTTCTACAAGGTCAACATCGACGAGGCGGCGGATGTCGCGGAGGAGGTCGGCATCCGTGCGGTGCGTGTTTTCTCTTCCTTACGCTGCGTCTCCGGTGCCCCTCATGACGCGCGTCGCCGATGATCAGTTGCCCACCTTCATCGCCTTCAAGAGCGGCCAGAAGATCAAGGAGGTTGTCGGCGCGAACGCCAGCGACCTTGCGGTGCGTGTAATCTAAACGCGAGAGTGGAGCGCATGGTACTGACAGGCATTCTCGTGCAGGCTATGATCGAGAGCAGCGTGGCGGCATGAAACGGTACATAGAGCAGGACAAGTGTCGTCATGGATCTTGTACTTGGCCACCCCTGCTGAATCTCGCCGGAAATCAGTCAGACGTATGATTGAGTGGGGACTGCTGTGACTTGCATATCCTCGCGTGCTCTTCGCCGAATCCGTGCGGTTGAATTCGATATTCAAGACTTGTGTAGCGTGCGGTAGACCTGCCACTCGCTCGCGACGACAAGACCGAGGGGTGGAAATTTCTTGTAATGAATTCCCGTTTGTGCGACAAGAAAACTGAGGGGTTCGAAGGGTGGCTGAATACAGCAGCGCTCAGACGAGGAAAACAGCACTTGGACGCGCTGCGGTAGACGCCAATACTAGATTGACCTCCATGCAAGATAAGATAACGTCCCAGAACGTCCCGGACTGGTGCGCGAACGAGCCTTGACTCTGAGTTCAACCCATCCTCTTTCCATTCACAACGTGACATTCCTCCCTCTACAATCACTGCGATAATACCAGTCTCAATGGAACCAGCTCCCGCTCCGTTTCCTGAACTTGTGTCGCGGATCATCATCATCATCTCAACTCTGCTACACCACGCCGTCCGTGCCGTCACCAGGTCCCCTCGGCTCAAAGAGGCTCAAATTTATCTCATCGACGTATGGAATGCTCTTGCGTTCCTCCTAGGCAGCGTTGGAGCAGAAGACCGGGTCGCTCACAAGGAGGTGGTGGCTGTCTCGGGAACCGTGGAAGCGGGGGCCATAACTGTGTTCATATCGCGGAACACCGACTCTAGACTCGCAAACCAGTCGGTCGGGATTCTCCTCACCTTTCTCCCGATCGGGGGGATATCTATGTGGCGTGATGGGAACAGCGGAGTTCGAAAGGCAAGGAGAATCCCATACCGACTGGTCAAACTGGTCGCCCGTTTGGCAGGACCGCTCAAAAAGGAAGTCGTACCTGAAGGACTTAGAAAAATCGCGCTTTCAGCACTCTGCAGACATCTGGGCGCGCGGGCGCCTCCCCGTAACTCACCCGCGCGCCATGTCCGCACGCTCTGGTTACTCCTGCGCGCTGCACTGGCATTCACAATCTGTGTAGGTGAGTTGATGCACATGTATATAGGGTGCTAATAGTGCTCCTCAATGTTCACAGACTGTGACGGAAGGCTCTTCCTTGTCGGCAAACGTGACGTCTCTTGCTGCAGCAACGGCGATGACAGTAGATCCACGCTCCCCATTGCTGTCGTTCAAGTACGCACCATCGTCGTGGGTGTTGCGTGAGAACGCGCTTGCGCTGCAGCTCTTCGTACACACCCACGATCTCCCGGTGCTCATCCGATCCTACCTCGTACTCCGTCACCTCCGCGACGACCTCCAAAGCCCCACTGTCCTTCAGGCGCCGCTGCAGCTCCTTGCTCTGCTCGTCCTCCGGCACGTCGTACAGGAACGCAGCCGCGATCCCCGTCGCGAGGTTCTCCGTCGGGTGCCCGTGCCCACGCGCCATCTCGTACGGGCCCAAGAGCCTGTCCGCGCGCGCGAGCTTCCCGAGCGGCTCGCGCCCGACATGCGCAACTTCGTCATCCCGCACGGGCGCGTTGGCGAAGCGGCCGAAGACACGCTCGACGTACGTGCGGTGCTCGCGCGGGTCGAACCTGTGCTTGCGGAAGAGCGCCGCGCCGGCCTCGCGCTCGAGCGCGCCCCGCACGGGCGCGTCCGCGTCCGCGACGGCGGTGTCGATCGTCGCGAGGAGCTTGAGCGCGCCGAGGTGGGCGGCGAGCGCGTGCCCGCGGTTGGGCGTGAAGAGCTGTGCGCAGGACGCACACAAGTCGTCGCGCGGACCTCAGTGGCTCTCATTGACGTGACCAAGAGGCCGCACCCCACTCAAGATCAGCATACCCGCAGACTGCGATGACTTTCCTCGGCGGCACCTCGCCATCCTGTCATCCCCATGGCTGGACATCCCCATGGTGCTTATACCCTCAGCCCTCCCGGCGGACACCCGCTCGAATCCAACACTCCACACACACCATGTACCATAGCAATGATTTCACTACGATGTACATTGACTGTCCCGAGATTTTCATGCTCAATCCCCACCCGATTCTGCACCCCTTGCCTCCTCCACCCCTTCAAGCAGCCGTCACCAGCGCGTTAGCACCCGGCTCTGACATCGAAAACGGTGATGCAGACCCGCAATAATGGTCTCGTACTGCGCGCGACACACGATCTGGATGCGCGCGCTTCTCGCGGCGCTGTATCTGAAGCAGGAGGACGCGACGGACCTCAATGCGGACAATCTCTCGGCCATCGCGCTCTCCAAGAACAACGTGCATCACGCGCGTACCAAGCATATCGACATCCGGCATCACTTTATTCGCGAATGCGTAGAAGCCGGTACTATCAAACTGAAGCACGTACCTACGGAGGACAATGTCGCGGACATGTTCACGAAGCCGCTTCCACGCGATCGCTTCCACATGCTGCGGCGGCAACTCGGGATCCTCTCAGACGCCGAGTTGAGGGGGAGTGTTGAAGATACGCGCGGAAGCGCCAGCTACGATTAGATTAGATTACGCTATGCGTTCGGATGATACCTTTGTGGTTCCTTATCTCTTAGTTCAGTCTATCACGCCTTACGATACTCTTAGATCTTTGTTCTTGTCATGTACTATTTACAGCGCGCGCGCATACAGCGCTAATCAAGCTTCGTATTCCCTCCCCCGTACCTGCGTGAACTTCTACAACCATCAACAGAGGAACATTGGACTTTGAAACCCACATTCAAGACGTTCTCCACGTCATCCGGTACTTTTCCGCCCCCCCGGAAGATCGCAAAGTGGCGTTGAGCAACCAATGTCTCTTCACCTTCATCGTCGGACGTTCGTACTCCAAGATCCTTTCTCGCATTGAAAACGGCGACAGGCTGTGGATGGCCAAGAGCGCGGACGCGAAGAGCGAAGGCGAGGAGTTTGCACAGGGCGGGGACGGCGCGCAGATGGAGATGGACAAAAAGGGCACGCCGAAGAAGGACAAGTCGAAGAAGGGCAAGCAGGTTGAACGAGCCCAACCGGTTCAGGAGGGCGACACGAGCAAGCAGGGCACGCAGAGCAAGTCACGCAAGGCCCCCGAGCGTCTCGCTGACCGCGCTCCTCAGCCACTGGGGCCGACGCCCTCTACACGCAGCGCGTCCGCGCTCACGCCGCCGACCATCATCGGCCCGTAGAGCGCGATGCGGACATGGTCAGAGTGTACCCCGACGACTACGAGGCGGAGGAGATCCGGTCGTGCGCCCAAAGCTCATCGTATGCTGCACGTCGAGGAGTGGGAGGTGCTCGACGAACGTGCGCTGTGGAACGGGAACCGGAAGGAGCGCAGGCGGAGGACGTATACTGCCACGCGAGCCGTGGTTCACGGACCAGGTGCTCCAGTGGCGCACGATGCTCGCGGGCACGGTGATCGTGCTTGACGCCGCGGTCGGAGTTTACGGACTGAGCGTAGAGGGTCCGGAGAGAAATGGGCATCCACAGCACTTGATCGAGAGGAAGATGGGGCGCGTTCGTGGGGCAGGGAGGGTGTTGGATGGACTAATCCTGGCGCACGACTCGCCGTTGGCTGGTCCCATCCCATTGTGTCACTACTGTACTTTAAAAAAAGAACTGTAAAGCGGCTGTGGAGTCTTTGTACTGTCGAGGGGGCCACAGACGTCCTCCCACGTGTCCCGGAGGTCCTCAAAGCTTTTACTTGCAAGTTCGATGGTGGCTTTCAGAGGCGTCGTTTGATTAGATGGAATGCCTCGCGCGGCGGCTTCTAGAACCCTCTTCAGTGCATCCATCAGGCGCTTCGCCATCTTTGTCAACACATCTTCTGGGAGACCCGGCGGAGGGCACCACGGGAAGACCGTGGAATGTGTGCCAGGGAGTACGATTTTGACAGGCGCCGTCGAAGGAGAGGACGAACTCTGCTCAGCGATCACCTCCGCCAGAAGAGAACAGCAGAAGCAGCTCTTCTTGGTGACGCCGATCGTGATTTCGTCGTGCTGGATGGGAGAGATGTGTCAACGATCGACCGCTAACGAGCACTGTCGCTTACTGTTAACACGGAATGTATTAGGTCATGCGCCTTCTGTGACAGTTCTCCTCCATGCACCAACAGGGCGTAGGCCATAAGCAGGGCCTCCGCATGCACTTTCGCTCTAGCAGACCCATCCTTCCAAAGCTGCTCCAGTGTAAACGGGAAGTCCCCAGGACTCGTATGATGATCGGGAAGGCGAGCCTGGCGAGTAGCGAATGACTTCTTCCACAACTCTTCGAGCTCGCCGAGAAGGTCAGGGTGCTGGGGCAACTCAAACTTCAAAGGGACGTTCTTCACGTACACCGCGTTCACCTCGACTGGGTCTTTCATGGTCTGCGACTCCTTCTGTTTGGCAAATCCAAACATGATTTCCGTGATGGTGAGGGGGATAATAAGGGTCTTCAGATGACGAATGAATTGGTCCCCCGGTGACTCGTCGGGGTCGGCAAATACCTCTACGACTAAACCGACTATCGTCAGCTCGGGAGTCGGTGAACATACATCATGAAAAGCACATACACTCGTCGTCAGTGGCCGCAGATCCTATCCCGACAGCGTCGGCTACATCTGAGGGATCGTCAGTAAATTGCAGGGCAAACTGAATACGCCGAAGATACGTACTCTGCCGTGTGGCTCCCGTGCTGTTTGTTGTGTCTTCAGTGACACGATTCATCATGATCTCTGGAAGCAGATCAGACAAGTCCATCCACGAAACCACGGTCTAGGCACTTACCTTCCACCTCGCATTTTTGTCGCCTAACCTTGAAGGCGTGCTCGCGCATGGCACGGAGGACGGTAACAACTTCGGGACTGAGGAGGGCCTCGACGACGTAGCGGCAAGCGAGGACCTGGCCCAAGACGTGCATTGCATTGAACAAGGACTTGTACTTGTCCGACAGGGCGAAGCCAGAGAGCGACCTGTCCTTGTGCAGGTCGTTCAGAATTCCCCTCATGTGTCCCACGGAGTCCATCACCACCTTCGCCCACTGGCTCGCGTTCTCGTTCGTAACCGAGTATGTGAGTTCCGAGCCCGACGGGTTGGAGTCAGTTGGTGTGAGACCCGCTTTCTCCAGGTCGGGCTTCATGTTGCTGGGGAACGAGAAGCTTCTCCCGGGAGGGATGCACGTTGGCGGGGTGGAACAGAGGATGTGGTAGACGTGGGTCGTGGGGTGGTTCGTATTGAGGTCGGCCGGCTCAGCCTGTTCACCCTTAGCCTGTTCAGCCAGCTTGCCCTTCCCCTTCGGCGCGTCTTTGCGTAACTTGCTCTGCGTGCCCTGCTTGCTCGTGTCGCCCTCCTGAACCGGTTGGGCTCGTTCAACCTGCTTGCCCTTCTTCGACTTGTCCTTCTTCGGCGTGCCCTTTTTGTCCATCTCCATCTGCGCGCCGTCCCCGCCCTGTGCAAACTCCTCGCCTTCGCTCTTCGCGTCCGCGCTCTTGGCCATCCACAGCCTGTCGCCGTTTTCAATGCGAGAAAGGATCTTGGAGTACGAACGTCCGACGATGAAGGTGAAGAGACATTGGTTGCTCAACGCCACTTTGCGATCTTCCGGGGGGGCGGAAAAGTACCGGATGACGTGGAGAACGTCTTGAATGTGGGTTTCAAAGTCCAAATCTCCTCTGTTGATGGTATTAAGCGAATGGACTGGAGAGGTGAATGAAACGCACCTCTGGATCGAAACGAATGACCGGCTTAGAATGTCCCAGCCTGGTTTAGTGTCACGAGAACTAAACACTCGCGGCGAGACGGCATCTTCGCGCGAGTCGGTGTTCCGCGATACGAGGAACGTGTTGATGACTCCTTGTGCCATATTTCCTGTGACAGCCACCACCTTGTGAGCGACCCGGTCATTGGTGTCTCCAGGGCCTAGGAGGAACGCGAGAGCATTCCATACGTCGAGGAGACGAATTTGATCTTCGCTGAGTCGGGGGGAGCTGGCGGTGGAGGAGGAGAAGGAGGAGATTGGTGAAGGGCTGGCGGTGGCGGCAGGGACGGTGGCGTGATGCAGCAGCGTCGAGATGATAATGATCCGCGACACAAGTTCAGGAAACGGAGGGGCAGCCGATTCCATCGAGACCAGAGGGGAAAGTACCAGGTATCAGAGCAGGAGTAAGAGGATTGAGAGAGGAGCGAGCGAGGGGGATGGCCCCGGACAGAGAGAGGGCAGTCGGAGGGAGTTTCGCACGCCGAGGATTACGCTCGCTTCCCGCCAGTGACTGCCGGCGCTGACTCGCGGCGCTCCCAGAACCCTGGGCGTGCCATTAGCTTACCCGATAGGGGAGCGAACACTACAGTCGGAGGACTCACCTCTCGTCCTGCCTTGAGCACCCGAGGAAAGGCTCAGATGGACTTGAAGCCTGGCCGCGCCTCGAAGAAGCAATGGCGGACAAATGCGCTGTGGTTGCCTTCATGGATGGAGCGTATACCCAAAGCCACGCTGCCATAGTGGCGCGGCGTTTCGAGCGTATCGGTCGGGCAAGCTTCTCCTACGGCGTGGCATTGCGTGCGGAGAGACGACGTCGTACGACGCCGAGATGATGGCGCAGGAAATGGGACTGGGCTTCGCGACAAAGCAGCTCTGTGAAGCCATTCACGTGGTCGCAGATAATGAGTCAATGCTACGAACCATCTTGGACACCGGCATGCACACCCAACGGCCCGTGTCCGTGATTGCGTGCCGGAAGGTCCGAGAATGTATGGAGAAGGAAGAACGAAGACGCATTGTCTCCCATTGGTGCCCGTCGCATGTGGGCATCGAGTGGAACGAACGGGTGGTCGAAGACGCGAAGGCGGCGGCGGACCTACCTACGGTAGTGAACGAACGCCCGCTCGCGAAGTGCCTCCTCGTGGAAGTCCGATTGGAAAGGAAGAAACAGTGCCGCGAGAACAGGGCATACGCGGGGAAACACTTCCTTGGATTGCGGGTGTTCGACTCACCTAAATACACCACGAGCGCGGCGCTCGAGGCACACGGACACTCGACAACCAGAATGGCGCGGTTCTGTCGTGCCGTACTCAACCACGCGCCCATAGTAGGGTCACTCGGGAAGCGATTCCTCCCGAACGAGCCTACGGAGTGCCCGACTTGCCACGTCTTGCAAAGTCGGGCGCACATCCTCTTGGAGCGGCCGGAGGTAGTGGCGCTGCGGGGGTGAGATCGAGTTTCTTGCAGCGGCTAACCAGGACTTGAACGGATTCCTGGACAAAAACGGGAGCGCGTTCACATTCGCGGACGCCCCACAGTGAGACACAACCACAGGAGCAACAAAACCGAGACAGACCTACCACGCGGCGCGATGGAGAGCCCTTAATGCGGCAACCGAGCAGCAGTGAATCGCCGGGAACATCCGTTGCCACAGCCTCTCGGCAGGAGCGGATGCACCCGGCCGTGATACGCGCCTCGGCCGAGGACGCGTGGCGCGCATCGACGGATCCGGTCCAGCACGGCACGCCGAGCGACGACCAGCTGTTTTGCGATTGTTGCTCTGGAGCCTTTGCGCATTGCCTCCTTGACCTACAGACCTCCCACCTTGATACGATCGATACACTTTCCTTGCGCATGCGGTTATCCAAATCCTCAATAGCTACTCTCCGGGGGCCGTCTCCAAGCCACTCAGTACTACGAATCTGGCTGCATACAGCTTCCGCTGCATGTGAATCTACATCCCGATCGCAAAGGGGAATCAACCCTCGGTGTATGTCCAAATCGCACAGTATCTCATAAATGTCCATCATTACCGCGCTGAAACACGGTTTGCCGAGTATGAGAGTGAGAACGAAAAGCCGCCAAGCAGCTTCGTCTTCCTGATGAGCCCTGGCGGCTGGTAGGACGCGATCGTGGGGAATTTGGGTGCGGTGTGAATCTTGCTTCACTGGTAGCGCTAGCGTATGGAAAGAGGAGGAAACGTCCCCAGAGCGGAGCTGCTTGTCCGCGATGCGTTCGATTTTGGTCCCATCCCAAGAAGCACCATCTGTACACACGCATTGGCAATATTCAACGGGAGAAGCGCAGCGCAGCACGTACGGCGCGGGACGCGCTGTTCACTGGTGTTTATAGGTTGTGTTGAAGTCATCTTTGTTTCGCATACATCACATGAGATTGAGCCCACCCCACCTTCGTCCACAGAAATAGGAGGCCTGATCCTCATTATCCCAGCACGAATATAATCCGGAATGCCACCGTCCTTTGCGTGCAATTAATACAAAGAGAGTCCCACGCGAAGAGCACAGGACGCACCTTGAAGATGTCGTACAAGTCGCTGTCACATGCTATTGCAATCTCTGCGACAGACTTCTGAGAGAGGGCTGACATCAGTGGGTGTGAGAATGCATTGACGATTGCGCTGACCGCTAAAATATAATCGAGAGCATCACCAACGGGGTCGAAAGCCTGCGCTATGTCAGCCAGTTGCGGCATCTTGTGATAGATAGATTTCATACCACACCGTACACTTCATCGGCGTGATAGCCAAGATCGTTATTTTCTATGCTCAAGAATCCGGAAGCATGACTTCCGCCGACGTCGGTGACGGAGTCGCCCCGTGGTAGAACATGCGGCCCGTCTTGTGCTACTAAAGTCAGCACCGTTCCCTTACGGAATCGACACTTCATCTTGTAGAACTTCATGAAGAGCGGGTGGCCTGGTGCCCAGGAACGCTTCGGGTCCAACCCATCAGAGCGTGGCTCGGGGGTGAACCCCGGTGGCGGCGCGTCGCTTGTCGTGAGGGTCCAAGAGTCATCGACTGTACCACAGATCTCGGAGTCCGTCGTATGGTGGAGCGCAACAGTCTTTTCCTTGGACTTCTTGCCCTGGAATGCAGTGATGGTCCATTGAGTCGCCTTTCTGGTGCACGCGACGAACAGAAGATATTGGTCTCGCAAGCCGAGCTGGCAGTCGGCGTTGGCGAGCTCCAGCCAGCGGTCACCGGTCAATATTGGACAGCATCTCGGCTTTCATGAGCGCGGTGGCCTCGATCGTGTTTAGGACGCAGGGAAGTTGGAGGTGGAGGATCGCATCGAAGTCTGAGGTGCAGCGAATGAAGAACTGCGAACACGTTCAGCGAGGCATCGTGGGATCGGCAGATACGTTGTAAGGCACGTACCCAGGGTGCTGTTTCTCCTTCAAACTTCGAGTAGTCAGTTGGGCATGAGTACTGGAAGGGGACCCGTGTAAAAGCCGTAGTCTGCCTTGACACTGGGTCTCGAAAGAGCACAGAGCCCATTTTGATCGCCTGGGAGAACGGCGTTTTCGGATTCCAGATTGGAAGACCATACTTGAACGTGGAGACAAGCGGAAGTCAGAGTCAGAGAGAGGGTGTTCGACTTTGTGCGTTGTCGACACAAGCAGCCGGCTGCGGGCGGCCCGGCTTTCGAGTCTCGACTCTCGACTGCCCAAAGAGGAATGCAGACGCTGGCCGGTCCGTGCTCCAAGTTTGGCGCTCACTCCTCATCCTCGTCCTCAACCTCCTCCCTGCTAATTCCGCAATGCGACTTCCTCACTGCGACGACGACGAATACGAGCCTGCAATGCTCCCCACACCGCCCTCAACGCATTCATCGCGATCGAGCTCCCCTACGCCGGCTCCGGCTCCCCACGCAGAGTCAGCCGCGACCGACAACAACGCGTCGAAAAAGAAGAAGAAAAAGAAGTCAAAGAAGGGCGCAAAGGCGAAAGAGCCGTCTGCAGGCAAGGTGCATGGAACTGAGAGTTCTGACGATCGCCCACCCGTCCTCTGCATCAGTCGCAACAAGCATTGGCGATACATCAGTTCATACCATGTGCGTCTCCTCCGTCTTCTGCGCCAGCCAAACTCCTGGTAAGCGAGCGTACTCCAGGGTCCATGGCTCCAACTTCCGCTCGAGCTGCTCGAGTCTCTTCTCCTCCTCAATCTCGACCCTACTACGCTCTCTGCGGCAGATCAGAAGCTTCCTCCCCTCCCCTCCCTCCCCTCCCCGACGCACCCTCCACGCTCGAATGCCTCGCAAAAGCAGCGCGACCGCGGCTTTTCAGGCCTCGGCGACTACTCCCCGCCCGGGTCGCCATGCACGCAGTTCGCCTCGCTAGCACCCCCACCACTCCTACCTCCACCGTGTCCGGGCAAGGCAACGCCCCCACCCATCGACCCCGGCGTGTTCCGCTCGGTCACACACATACGGAGACTCATTGACGAAGCCTCTGAGCTCTCTGTGCGCGCGAGCTCGGGCATGTCTGCGGCGGCACTCGGCTCTCTTCATGGCGGCGGTGGAGGTATGGGCGGCGGCGCGTGGGGGGCGGGCGCGCCGTCGTATGGCCTAGGCTCGCTTGGAGATGCAGGCGGACGCAATGTCGCGATGTCGGCCATGCGCGTGCATCGACTACGAGCACTCGCGGTGCAGAAGCTAGCGGCAGCATACAAGGCGGACGAGATCGCGTCGAGCGTGATGGTGATGCAAGGCGGGAGTGTGTTTGACGACATCGCGGAGCGGGTGCTGAGAACAGGTGCGTCGCTTGGATCATTGCGCGCGGTGCTTGAGTCTCATGGAACTTATAGACCCAACCGATGTGGACGCGCGATATGTCCACTTCTTCCACGAAAAGATACCTTCCAGGTATGTGCTCACCTCTCATCGCGCCCATTGGGGTCTCGTCTAGGGACAGGTCTCCCGTTTTTCATGCTTGGAAACCCAAGAGACACGCTCGTACTTCCACCTTCTCCCATGGTCCATTGAATTTGCTTCACCCTCGTCTAATGACCGTTTTTCGCCAGGCAACTCGCCGAGTCCACGTCAACACACGTCCTGGACGAGTTGATAGCCGCAAACCCCACCCGCCTCGAGTTCCACCGAACGCGAGGCATCGTTCACTGTTTCCGCGACGAGTACGGCTCTGCTGTCAAGGATTTCACGCACGCTATCCGAGAAGCGCGGTCCATTCGGAAGGCTCGAACCGCGCATATGAACAGCAACCTCGGCGACAAGCAACGTGCCAAGGGGTCGAAGAAGAAAAAGAAGGGGAAGGCAGACGGAAGCAAGACCAATGGTCAGGTCTCACCGAATGGGACGAGCGCAAGCGCAGGGGTCCTAGAGGGGATCAGCGTCGAGGGGCCAGACGGCGAGCCCATCTTACTTCACCCGTCCGTGCTCCCCGACGCTCCCGAACCCATAGAGCCCCAATGTCTCTTTCTCCGCGCAGCGGCATACCTTCAGCACGCCGTGTTTCTTATCGAGGAAGCCATTTTAAAGCTCGAGAACATTCGCAAAGCACCTTCGATCGATGGAGCGGAGATGAGGCTCTGCTATATCGAGAACGGCAAATACGGCGGCGTGGAGATTAGCAACCCGGACGGCCCTCTCGGACGCCGCGACGGCCCGAAGCTCACGGCGTACCGCACCGCACTCACGGAACCCAGTTTCCGTGAGCAGATCACATCCCTGGTGAAGAAGAGCATGCGAGATCACCGCCAGTTCCTCACCCACTTCGACACGCTTGAAGGCGCCCTTGGGTACACAGACAGGGATATCGTCCAACGCATTGAATACGCCTTCCTCCTCTCCGAATTCCTTCGCCCGGGGAGCCAGAGTACGCCGCCACCCGTGCCAAACGCCCCACCAATGTTCACTACCTACCACCCGCTGCTCGTCGAGAGCCATTTCAGCATTCTCATCGGCTATCTCCTGCTCAGCGACTTCCCCGCGCTCCTCACCGCGTTCTCTCGCACCGCCGCCCTCGTCGACGGACTCGAAGGGTACCCGGTCTTCCTTCCTCCACGTTCAATGTCCCAGGCAGAGTTCATCGAGATACTCGAGCGCCTCGCCGGGGGCTGGCGCAACGGCATTCAGCCCCATTCCCGTGCGCGCGCCAGGGCTCGCGGCAACACGCTGGCAATCGAAGGCCCCGCCCCTCCGTCCCCTCTATCGTCCCAGTCCCCGTCAACGAGCCAGCTGGCGCCCCGGATGCCCACCCCGCCGACGCCCGACGAGACTGGCTGGGATGCAGAAGGGAGACCCGGCCCGTCGTTCTCCACGCACAGCCTCGCCGCTTCCTTAGGCGTGAACGGCTCCAGCTCGTCGTCTAAGGTCCCGCGGCCCTCCTCCTCCTCGCGACGCGATCCGTCTCCGGAAGAAAAGGGAGCGCGCCGAACCCCGCCGTCGCCTGGCGCGCAGGACCTGGCCGGCGTTCTCGATGCGGCGCGGGTGTTGCTCGCGCCGGTCGCAAAGCGGCAGCGCGAGAAGGCGGAGCAGGCCGAGAGGGAGCGGGCGGGCGCGAAAAGCAAGAGCAAGAAACCGCTCAACATCAACATTCCCTTGCACGGGCCCCGGGTGGAGATTGTGCTTGCGTGGATGGCGGCGGGGAGTTTGTACGAGCTCGACGGAGGCGCGCAGGCTTGATCTAGCCCTTCAGGGTGCGTCTGGTCAGGACCTTCTGTGTTTTATGTGCTTGCAAAACTTCCGAAGATCGTGGATTACGGAATAAGCTGTCCGTCGACACGGCGAGCACGCGATTTGACCTTCTGTGTGAGGCTTTGGAGTGTTTTGACATCTTCGTCCACACTACTCTCCATTCGTTCCGCCCACCCTCTCATACACATGCTCAGCTGGAAATGGCAGCACATGCTATGGGGAGATCTTCAAGCTGAGCACTGAGGTGTGGTCTTCCTGCTTGGAACGCGAACGCGCCCAGCACCCAAATGATCTAGCTTGGTTTCGCTCACCGGCGGTTGTGTGGAGCTATACATTGGACACATGCAAAAGCGCAGAGGAACAGCCTCGCACTCCGAGGGCTCACGTCAAGACCGGGTAACCACGGTGGGTCTCTGCGCTTCATGCCGATTCCAGTCGCAGCTAGTACTCTCGAGGAGACCCCGGCTTCACACCTTCACACTCGACTCATTCTTCATTCCTACAGCTCTAATGGCATACATTTTGGCTGCGCGTCGCCGAGTCGTACATATCTCAAAAGTATCACAATGTTGCTTGAACTTAATTTGCGTGGTTACGTCCTATGACTGATGATTGGAGGTAAACCACGACCCCGGCTTCCCAGGCTCCAAATGTGATCATACGTTACAACGCCGGCTGATTTCCGGCGAGATTCAGCATGGCCAAGTGCAAGACCCACGACGATACTTCTCCGAAACATCCTGCTCAATGCACCGTTTCATGCCGTCGCAACCGACTCGACCATGGCCTGCACGAGAATGCCTATCAGTACGCGCTCCATTCTCGCGCCTAAATCACACGCACCTGGAGGACATCAGAGTTTGCGCCGGAAAATCGTCGAATCCCGTCGCCACTCTTGAAGCTTGAAGGCCAACTCCAGCTAGTCAACGGCCTTTTGTTGCTTGAGTCCTCAGCCGAGCAACAACACGGCGCAGCGACGGTCCCGAAGAATCGATCCCTCACACCATCGTGCCGTCACCAAAACCATCGTCCCCATTTCCGGTCCCGATCCCGGTCGAGCATGCAGTGAGAGGCTCAACGCGGCCTTGATGTCGATACGTTCATCATCCATCCCAAAGCAGGGCCTAAAGCAGCCCTCGCCCCAGTCCACCTGGACGACGGAGTCCCCACCCCGCTCTCCCCATCACCCGAGCACCTCTTCCTTTTCTACGCGACGCCGAGGACACGCCCGACGACAAAATTGTCTCCGTCGACGACGAGCCCTCCCCCGGCCCCCGCCGCCCGCGCGTTCGGCTGACCGCGAGTCTCCTCAGCCAGACCGACGCTCTCTAAGCGCAGCGGGTCCGCGCCCGCGCTCCCGACGATCCTCGACCCGTAGAACGCGATGCGGACGTGGTCCGAGCGTGCGGCAGACGCGCCCGCGGCCCGGAGCTCATTGCTCTACCGTACGTCGAGGAGGAGGACGTGTTCGACGAGCACGAGCGGGAGGAGGGAGGATAAGGAGTGCAGGCGGCGGCTCACGGAGATCGTGCTCCATCAGCGCATGATGATCGCGGACGCGGTGATCGTGCTCGGCGTTCGATGCGGTCGCAGTGTACGCACTGAGCACGGGGGTGCCGGGAAGCAACGGGCATCCGCAGCACTTGATCGGGAGGAAGACGGGGTGCGTTCTGGGGCGGGGAGGGTATTGGATGGACTAATCCTGGCGCACGACTCGTCGTTGGCTGGTCCCATCCCATTGTGTCATTACTGTACTTTAAAAAAAGAACTGTAAAGCGGCTTTGGAGTCTTTGTACTGTCGAGGGGGCCACAGACGTCCTCCCACATGTCTCGGAGGTCCTCAAAGCTTTCACTTGCAAGGTCGATGATGGCTTTCAGAGGCGTCGTTTGATTAGATGGAATGCCTCGCGCGGCGGCTTCTAGAACCCTCTTCAGTGCATCCATCAGGCGCTTCGCCATCTTTGTCAACACATCTTCTGGGAGACCCGGCGGAGGGCACCACGGGAAGACCGTGGAATGTGTGCCAGGGAGTACGATTTTGACAGGCGCCGTCGAAGGAGAGGACGAACTCTGCTCAGCGATCACCTCCGCCAGAAGAGAACAGCAGAAGCAGCTCTTCTTGGTGACGCCGATCGTGATTTCGTCGTGCTGGATGGGAGAGATGTGTCAACGATCGACCGCTAACGAGCACTGTCGCTTACTGTTAACACGGAATGTATTAGGTCATGCGCCTTCTGTGACAGTTCTCCTCCATGCACCAACAGGGCGTAGGCCATAAGCAGGGCCTCCGCATGCACTTTCGCTCTAGCAGACCCATCCTTCCAAAGCTGCTCCAGTGTAAACGGGAAGTCCCCAGGGACCGTAGGAAGATCGGGAAGGCGGGAGCGAGCAGGAAACGCCTTCTTCCACAACCCTTTGAGTTCTTCGAGAAGGTGTGACTGTTGCGAAAACTCGAACTTCGCAGGTGTGTCCTTCACATAGACTGCGTTCACCTCGACCGGGCACTTCCAGTGTTGCGAGCGTTGACGGGAAAATCTAAACAAGATTTCCATGACAGTGAGGGGGATGAAGAGATTTTTCAGATAACGGATGAATTGGTCCCCCGGTGACTCGTTGGGGTTGGCAAATGCCTCTGCAACTAAACCGACTATCGTCAGCTCGGTCGGTGAAGATATGTCATGAAAAACACACACAGTCCTCGTCGTCAGTAGATCCGGATCCTGTCCCGATAGCGTCGGTCGCGCCTGAGGTGTTTGTGAGTAAACTGCAGGTCAAATAGAGTATGCCAAAGACATGTACTCTGCTGTGTGGCTCCCGTGTTGTTTGTTGTATTTCCAGAAACATTCTTCATGATCTCTGGAAGCAGATCAGACAAGTCCATCCACGAAACCACGGTCTAGGCACTTACCTTCCACCTCGCATTTTTGTCGCCTAACCTTGAAGGCGTGCTCGCGCATGGCACGGAGGCCGGCAACAACTTTGGGACTGAGGAGGGCCTCGACGACGTCGCGGCAAGCGAGGACCTTGCGCAAGACGTGCATTGCATTGAACAAGGAGTTGTACTTGTCCGACAGGGCGAAGCCAGAGAGCGACCTGTCCTTGTGCAGGTCGTTCAGAATTCCCCTCATGTGTCCCACGGAGTCCATCACCACCTTCGCCCACTGGCTCGCGTTCTCGTTCGTAACCGAGTATGTGAGTTCCGAGCCCGACGGGTTGGAGTCAGTTGGTGTGAGACCCGCTTTCTCCAGGTCGGGCTTCATGTTGCTGGGGAACGAGAAGCTTCTCCCGGGAGGGATGCACGTTGGCGGGGTGGAACAGAGGATGTGGTAGACGTGGGTCGTGGGGTGGTTCGTATTGAGGTCGGCCGGCTCAGCCTGTTCACCCTTAGCCTGTTCAGCCAGCTTGCCCTTCCCCTTCGGCGCGTCTTTGCGTAACTTGCTCTGCGTGCCCTGCTTGCTCGTGTCGCCCTCCTGAACCGGTTGGGCTCGTTCAACCTGCTTGCCCTTCTTCGACTTGTCCTTCTTCGGCGTGCCCTTTTTGTCCATCTCCATCTGCGCGCCGTCCCTGCCCTGTGCAAACTCCTCGCCTTCGCTCTTCGCGTCCGCGCTCTTGGCCATCCACAGCCTGTCGCCGTTTTCAATGCGAGAAAGGATCTTGGAGTACGAACGTCCGACGATGAAGGTGAAGAGACATTGGTTGCTCAACGCCACTTTGCGATCTTCCGGGGGGGCGGAAAAGTACCGGATGACGTGGAGAACGTCTTGAATGTGGGTTTCAAAGTCCAAATCTCTGTTGATGGTATTAAGCGAATGGACTGGAGAGGTGAATGAAACGCACCTCTGGATCGAAACGAATGACCGGCTTAGAATGTCCCAGCCTGGTTTAGTGTCACGAGAACTAAACACTCGCGGCGAGACGGCATCTTCGCGCGAGTCGGTGTTCCGCGATATGAACACAGTTATGGCCCCCGCTTCCACGGTTCCCGAGACAGCCACCACCTCCTCGTGAGCGACCTGGTCTTCTGTTCTAACACTGCCTAGGAGGAACGCGAGAGCATTCCATACGTCGATGAGGTAAATTTGAGCCTCTTTGAGCCGAGGGGACCTGGTGGTGGCGGGGACGGCGTGGTGCAGCAGAGTTGAGATGATAATGATCCGCGACACAAGTTCAGGAAACGGAGGGGGAGCTGGCTCCATTGAGACTGGTATTATCGCAGTGATTGTAGAGGGAGGAATGTCACGTTGTGAATGGAAAGAGGATGAGTTGAACTCAGAGCCAAGGCTCGTTCGCGCACCAGTCGGGGACATTCTGGGACGTTATCTTATCTTCCACGGAGGCCAATCTAATACACACGACGGGCAACGGCCCAGCTTCGGAGCCCGAAAACTCGTAGAAATTGCCTGTCAAAGGTGCCTTTTCTGCAGCCTTTTGTGCGCGTGTGAAAAAGGCACTAAAATGGGCAATTTTTCCGGGTGCTTTACGGGGTGCCGAAAAGGATTGATAAAGAGACCTTTGGTGCCCATTTCAATAATGCGCGTTACTTATCACTCGTACTAACTTGTTTGTTACTCGCATACTATACACGCTCTATTGCCTTTACTATGAATTCTATTGTCTGTCGGGCCAAAAAATTCGCCCAAAACGTCACCTTTCAGGATACTCTACGACACACACAAACTTGACATAAAAGTTCGCCTTTCCTGCCCTTTTTCTCCCCTGGAAAAATACCTGCCAAAAATGACACCTTTGACAGGCTTTTTCTACGCGTTTTCGGGCTTCCAAGCTGGGCTGTTGCCCGTCGTGACAGCTGCGGTCACTGGGTTTGCACCGAGCGCTTAGTGATGCGGCAACTCGACTCGACTCTGGCAGACTCGGAACAAGTCGGATTTAGAGTCCTGACTCCGATAATTGACTCATAACTAAGAGTCGCGCCGGGAGTCGCCGAGCACTGATGCGAGATAACTTCCTAATTAGGACCATGGGCCAAG